ATCTTTATCATCAGAGTACTTTCTTCCCACAGTTTTGGTAATCCAAGTATTATCCAGGAAACAAAATAAACTTACAGCATAGTGTTCTACAATCTTAGCATCAGCAATCCTATCTGTAGGCAGCATATTCAACAACAGGAAGAGATAGCCCCAGGAGGCCATGTTGAAGAGGGGTGCTCTAGTGGGTTTGCCATTTGGGGAAATCAGGACAAAGAAAGCACATTTTTTCTGGGAACTCAACCTGCTACCAGCTGATAGTCATCTTAAGAGGCACTTTTCAATAAATCACTATAATTTAAAAACCAAATGCTTTGAAACTCCTTTTGCCAGATCAAATCAAACTGACTCTCAGTTGGTGGAAGGCCCAGATGTGAGTTTCGTAACACACATCAATTACTATCTAATCCATCACTTGCAGATGCTGAATGTGCCTGGTGCCATTCCCAGAACTAGTGTCATGGAAACAAATAACAGCATCAAGGTAGGAGTGGAATTAAAAAATGCTCTAGCCACTGTCTGCAAAGCACAAGTGGGGCATAAGTAAGTACAGGCTCAGTTTGGCCTTTCAATCTCAAGCCATATCATCTCTTGAACTCTTCAAAGCCCAAGTTGTAAGCAGTGATGTCATATGCACAGAAAATGTCAATTTTTCTAACAGCAGTTTTATCATAGCTCCTTGGATACTTTCTCTGGTAATAGCCAGAGAAACTTTTCACCTAATAGTATGGTCGCTAACATGATCGTTGACCTCAGTGATAGACATATGGGTTTCCTCCCACGTGAGAAATGTTGATTTGTTTGTATCCTTCACATTGTCATAGGTTGCTTTCAACAGAAAATAACATTGCAAGTCTACACAATGTGAATGAGCTGGCGTAAACATGAAATAGTGTACATGCCATTTGAACAACCAAACCATCTTTACAACTGAATTTCTAGCCCCACTGTCAGCTATAACTTCATATTCTGTTTCACTTGGCTGAATCAACTGATGTTAATTATCCTAATGAGAGACCATTATCATCGCTATCACTAAAATTTATTTAGTGCTTACTTAGTATATGCCAGGTACTGCTCTGTATATTTTACATGTACAATACTTTCTTCATCATAAAAGTCATATGTGGCAACATGTTGTTATTATCCCCATTTTACAAATGAGGAAACCGAGGACAATGTGGTTAAGGAACTTGTGCAAGATCCTATAATTAATTCTGCTGGATGCTTAACAGAGTACAGGTCCCATCCTTCCTCGTTGTATATCCGACAGTTCCTTATTTTGACCACCTTGCCCCACCTCCCAGTTTCCCTGACCAGCTAAAATGTTATAAAGAGAAGAGCCAAACAAAAAAATCATAGAGACAGAAAGTAGAATGGTAGTTGCCAGGAGCTGGAGGGAGGGAGAAATGGGGAGTTATTGTTTGATGGGTAAGCAGTTTCAGTTTTACAAGATAAAAAGAGCTACTTACAGATAGTGGTGATGATTGCACAACACGATGAATATATTAAATATCACTGAACTGAACACTTAAAATTGGTTAACATGGTAAATTTTATGGTCTGTGTATTTTACCACAAAAAAAAAATCGAAGGAAAAAAAAAAAAAGAACATACCCAGATGAGCAGGTGAGATGCAGAGATACCACTGGGGGGACTTCCTTGCACCAATAAGTTAAGCTATTTTAAAAGAGTATCCGCAGGGCTGGCATGGCATATGCCTAGGTCTGTGGCTTTGGGGAGAAAAAGTACGGCTGGAAGCCTCAAACCTCCTTGAATACATTGCGCGGGAGGATGGGCCAGAGAGCAGAGTATAATGGAATTCACCCCAACGAGAGCATGATTTCACCAAGGACACACTCCTCCTGTCCATCCATACTGGCCATCACTTAGAAGAGGCGCACTAGGCTGAAGACTTCATGAAGATTACAAATGGTTACCTACAATGATAGACTTCTTTCTGTGGAATGAGAATCATGAGCCGTGCTCTATATACATGTAACATAAGCAAAAATTATACAAAGCAAACATAAAATTCATCTGACTTTGGACTAACTGACAGTATATGGCCACTAGGACTCATCTACAAATATTATTTCTTCAACTCCACTCATTACAAATTGGTGAAGATTCTGGGGTGCTCGGGTGGCTCAGTCAGTGGAGCGTCCGACTTCGGCGAATGTCACCATCCCAAGGTTCGTGGGTTCAAGCCCCGCATCGGGCTCTGTACTGACAGCTTGGAGACTGGAGCCTTCTTCAATTTCTGTGTCTCCCTCTCCCTGCCCCTCCCTCACTCATGCTCTGTTTCTGTCTCTCAAAAAATAAACAAATGTTAAACAAAAATTATTTAACAACAACAACAACAAAAAGGAATTGGTGGAGACTCAGCCAGGCAGGGATGAGAGAAATGTGTCTACTCTAAAGTTCCTGTCTAGATCTCACCTTACGCTGCCCACCATATTCTGTGTGCTCCACACTATCCTTGTCACGCCTGTGTCCTAGGCTTTGGGGTGTCATTTCCTCATGCAAGTTCCCTTATGGTTAATTCCAGATAATTTTTAGTCTTTCTTTTTACCTCGCATGGGACATAATTTGAGTGTGAAGTTTATAGCAATGGTATCTCTAAGAATGTTTGCTTCTTCCAGTAATTTCTTTTTAACAGAGTTTCAACTAAGGAAAGACCCCTCTTTCAGTGTGTCTCTTCCTCCAGTGCTGTTCTTGTCTGCATGTCCCTACTTCAGGGGACTCCCAGCCTTGCCCCCATGTTTGGCCACTCTGAGACTGTTGGAGAACTGTTCGTTTTGTTTTGCACATCCTTTTGTTGAGAAAAATATTTCTCAGATTGGGCTTTAAACACAGGATGACTTGCTCTCCCCCAGTTCTGTTTGGGGGAAAACATGCTGTGTTTCCCTACCCACCTTTATACTTATTTCTAAAACAATTAAACACCGTTATTGGCTCTCATATGACAGTTAGCATATGATCTATCTCAGCTCAGAGGAAAGAATATCAATTTCGAAAGCTGCCTTAGGTGCCTGGAATAAAAGCCAGGAAAACACAAGCTAAGAAATCATTTGTGATTCACATAAACGGCCCCCAAAGGAGGAACCTGGCTGCAGTTAGCACTAACAGTAGCTTTTGCTGTATTCTCAGCCCCCAGGGCAATCTTTAACATGCTGGGGTAATAAGCTTCTGTCTGCTATTATCTGAAGAACAAAAAACATTTAAAAAGTCCATAAAATTGTTAACTTTGAGCAAGGAGGAAGGAAACTCAAATGCCAACACCTGACCTAAAAACATTCTGAACAAACTGACTAGAAAAACCAGAGAAACTAACTTTTTATATTTGTGGAGCTGCCAAAGAGAAGCTCATCTCTCAGCATCTATGTTTCCTTTCTTAATCTAATTAATACTTTGCATTAGAAGTCACTTTAAAATATCTTAGGTGAGGTGCCTAGGTGGTTTAGTCAGTCAAGCATCTGACTCCTCATTTTGGCTCAGGTCATGATCTCACACTAGTGAGATCAAGCCCTGTGTCCACGCCCAGCGTGGAGCCTGTTGGGATTCTCTCTCTTCCTCTCCCTCTTCCCCTATATGTGCTCTTTCTTTCACTCTCTTTCTCAAAACAAGACAAAACAAAACAAAACAAAACATGTAATGCAGTAGAAAACTCAAAACAATTTAGAAACCTAAATCAGTTACGATGTAACTGGATAGAAGAAAAAGCATTGTTCAACTCAAAGGGGATAAAGTTAAAAATAAGGAAAGGGAGGGAAACTATTGGCCAACAAAATGGTAAAGTCCACAGAACCCCGAACCAGAAGCTCAAATATATCCTCAGGACTCAAGTTCACTCCACCTCTTGGCAGACCCCTGAGTTGGCTTCATTCTCAGGTGTACTCCATCCTCTCAGAGATTTGTATTTCAGGCTTACCTCAGCTCAGAGCAAGTGATCACTGCAGAGAGGGATTGTCTCTTCCCACTAATCCGAACAAGTGTCACAGAATGGAGTGTCATTGTTCTGGACCAGGTTACATGCTCCTCCCTGGACAAACCATGCGCTAAGGGAGGGTACACTAGATGTGGGGTGGATGTTGGTGCTTGTAGCATGTGAGCCTCATCCTTGGAGTGAAGGGGGGAGGTTCTGCACAGGGAAGTTCCCCAGGGTAAAATCAAGGCGCCATTACTAGAAAAAAAAAGGAAATGGTTGCCAGCCAGCTGAAGGCTACCCAATCTGGCACTCAAAGTAATGAACTCCCCAACCTCAGCTTGTGAGATAGTGACAAGAATTTGTAAAAAGGGAAAATAAGTCCAGTGATAAAATGTCACCATTCTATCTCTCGAGTAATCAACAAACACAGACCTACATAAGTAAATATATTAGGATAGTAGCTCCTCCATTTCAACAGCAAGAAAATATGTGGGTCGATCAGATGGAATTAAAATCTGAATCTATTCAGAAACAATTGTTAACTCAGTTCTAAAGCCACAAGAGTCCAAGTACATGATAATGCACTCTCACGTCAAAGAGGTCCTATTCCTCTTCACTTCCAATTGCATCTTGTTCTGACATTACACCATATGGCGCGGGCCAAGTGCTCTTGTATGCAAAGCGAGTTCAGAGTAAATGAGCTAAAAATGTCTTACATACATAATGGCTCTTGTTTCAACTTAGCTGTGACTACTAGATTGCTGCAAACACCAAAATAATAGTGCTGCTAATGAGGAGATTTGTTCATAAGTTACTATACTGTCAACTCTAATGTTCGACCATAATGGTTATTATTTATTGATATGTTGTATGTATAACAAAGCAATGGCTGAGGCCAAAAGCAGCCTCCTAACAGACTCCAAGTCTATTAGATTGTGAATAATCTCCTAAAGATAATTATTCCTTAAAAATCTGACCAAAGTCTCTGTTATTTGAACATCTTAACTGAAAAGACAGAGGCCTAGATTTATAGTCAGGGTTTCTTCTGTAAGAGACTAGAGTGACAACTCACAGGGCTGATGAGGGTACAGACAAGCAGGCACTTCCAGACATCATGGTGGAAAAGTGTTTGACCCAGCCTTTTGAAGAGGAATCTGACACGATATATTAAAATTTTAAAAGCACATATCCTTTGACTCAGCAATTTGACTTCTGGGAATCAATCCTGTAAAAATTAAAGTACCAGTACATGAGGACACATATACTAGGATGTTTACTGCAGTTGTGTTTGTGACGGCAAAAACTTGCAACCATCTTCACGTCCATAAGAATAGAATGGTTGAATAGACTAAGTGCATCCATATAGGGCAGGTTATTATGCAGCGACTCAAAGAACAAGTCAGAGTCACATCTTAGTTTGGAGAGATGTATATGATATAGCATTAAGTGAGAAGAGCAAGTTACAGAGAATTGAGATAGATGACAGATACATACATGCATAGAGGACTATGAGGTTATAGGTGTATATGCATATATATGAGGTTATAGGTGTATATGCATATCTTTCTGTAAAAGAGTAGAATAGTAGGGTTTAGATTCAGGCTTTGCAATTTGAGTTCTCTTTGAATCTCACTTTCTTCATCTGCAAAATAAAGGTAATCTTTTTGTGAAGATCAAATGAGATGATGAAAATGATGGGTGAACTGTAAATAGCAATCAAATGTCACATAATAATATTATAAGATAGTCTCAGATGAGTCTGAAATTAAGGATCCACAATGTGCTCCAAGGCTAGTACCACCTGGCAGAGTTGTACTTGGCTCTATCCACACCAACATCAGCCACCTCTTCCGGTCTCATGAGAGAGAAAAGAAATGGTAAGCTATAGCTAACACTATCTCTGTAGGTTACCCGCATGCCAGGAAAAGAACTGCAGGTGTTCCCAAAAGGAGCCACACATCCCATTCAGTACTTTGAGCCTTAATAAGATCATGTTCATTTATGTAGCTAGTTAAGTAGACCATCACGGAAGCTCACCATCCTGCAGAAATATGGTTATATAGAAGAAGTGTTTTCACTTTTGAAAATCAACATATTCTCTCTTCATATATGCTTTATAAAATAGTTTTAATTATACGGTAGATAGTTTCATACCTATCTTTGGGGCCAGTTGGCTCTACTTCTTTCTAGCTGTGTAAACTTGGAAAATTATATAACCTTCTCAGTTCTTCCATTTGCAAAATGAGGGTGATAATAGTACTCACCATTTAAGATTGTTGTGATAATCAAGTGAGTTAAACATGTAAAGGACTTAAAACAGAGATAATACCTAATAGATGCTAAGTAAATGTTAGTTATTTTAATCTTTCCAAATAACATAAGTTTATATGCTTTTTTCCATATTCCTCATATAGCCTATATTATCATCATTTTATAAAGTTATTTAAACATAAATAGCATGCTTTATCAAATGGATATTGTTGTAATTTCGAATTTTTTCCTATTTCACTATTGTAAATAATATGTTAATCAATATCTTTGCATCTTAACCTTTTCCGTATTTGGATTATTCCCATAAAACAGACCCCCAGAAAGAGTTTAGAGAAAGAAAGAGTCTTTGGGTATTTTCATATATCCTTGATATATCTTGATATATTTTAAATATATCTTTATATTTATATTTATAAATATTCTTTCTGAAGTCCCTTAAGAACTTGACATAATGTTTTTTACGCAGCCATTCAACACCTGCTGACATTTTTATCAAGATTCATTTAAGAAAGGTCATTATAAGAAATTACCATATTAAAATTTATCTACAAAGTTTTTTAAGTTTCAGATTTTTAAACCATAGCTCCCTGAATATAATAACACCATACTAGAGTTTTGCTACTAAAAAAAAATGAAAAGCCCACTTACTCAATGACATTTTTAGCACACAAAATTCCCCTTATGAATCATACACTTGCAAACCATGCACCCCTAAACATTTAGCTCCTTCTGACTCATTCTGAAACACTTTTGACAACTTCTCCGTTGAAATTCAAAGTGTCCCAATACTGTAAGATCCCCTGTTCCTCTAATTAATTAGTTCCCTTTCCCACTGGCAAAATGTAAGGGTAATAACCTATTTACAGATTATGGAATGAAGCACATGACTGGAACCTTCTACTGCCCACTAGCATAAACATTCCTATCTTCCAGGAGGACCTCTCTCTAACCTAATACCAGACTTTCATTCCCCTCCTTCCCAGCCATCCCACCACCACTCCCTATAGGTAACATCTTACCCTTCCAAATCCTGGATGTTTCCTAAATCCTGTTTCCATCTGCAGACTCTATGGTTTCTGAGCCCTCTCTACACAGTTGGCTTAAGGAGGCACACTGACCTCACTAATCTATGCAGATTGATTCAGGCTTCCAAAGCCCAGTTAGCTGTCCTGTAACAATCTGTTTACTTTGTTCCTCTACCAGCACGCTAAGTGCCCCATCTTGTGTAGGGGGTTACTCTACACGGAAAACTCCCATCATGTAAGAGGATAACTGAATCCATAATATTTACTTTCACTGGCCCCTTTCCCTTGTTACTGATTATTACTGTACCCAAAAAAGAAACATGAAACTCATTCCTCAGGTATTTTTTTGTTCTGTTGCTACAAATCACACTGGGCTGCGGGTCTGGCAAACTTTCAAGGTCCTTTGCCACCAATTATTGAATTAATTAATTTTCCAGCAAGCTTGCTCTTTGTTCTGTATAGCACATAAGTGGCACTCAGGGATGGCAAATTTATACTAAGAAGGCAAGACAAGTGCTAATTTAAGTCACCATGAGAAGCACTTAAAATCCCCACACCTTCCAAATAGACTCTTACTGACCATTATCTACCTCTGAGGCAGGACCAAGTGAGTGACTTCCCAGACATGAAAATTTCATTTTTAAGTGGTCTTACATGAACCCAGACTAATTTGAAATTAAGGTCTTTCTTTGAAACCCCACTGGAAATTCTAGCAATATGGCGAGGATGATGCTACTCGTTGGCAAAATGGCAAGTTATTTATCCTTTCTGCCCTTGTTTCCTCACACGTGAAATGAGGAACACTGACTTACTTCACAGGAAGTCTGCATGTATTTAATTAATTAACAACACACATCAAAAATACAAACTGCAGAACACCTTCACTCAGCCCCTAAGCTCAGTAAACCTGCCAATTGTATTCAATTGCTTGGTTGATCTGACCTAGATCTCTCTTTAGGTTTGGTCTAGTCTGGCCTGTAAACATGTTTTTGTCTACACATACAGATACGTACAGACACATGTGTGGATTTTAATTTCCTATTTTAATGTTTTCTTTCCATGGCTGCAATTGTTGAGGTCTTATGTTTTCTTCATCAAATGCTCACTCAGTTCCCCATTCACTGCAGAAAACACTAGACACCCATGCCAAACATGTACATGTCCGACTAGCATATATCCAGCCAAATGAGCCCACATCAAACTCAGTTTTACTTTCCTTACTCCAAAGTACCTTCTGTGACTAGACAAAAGATGATGGAAACTTCATCCTAGAACATCAAACCCTGCCAGGCATATTTCCATCTGTCCTATTGCAGATTGCCAAAAGCATTTTTGAGGTTTTTTTTTTTTTTTCTATAAAGTCAATCAAGAATTCTTTCAGGCAGGAGTTATTTGAGGACTAGGAAATGTGGTATTTCCTACTCTGACTGACCCTTTGGACTATGGAAGACATGCCCGACCAAAATAGAAGAAGGAAAAACAACTGATACACAGACGTAGGACCTTCAGAATCTGTTTACTTCCTTCCTTGAGCCACACACAACACCCAAAGACATTAAGCCTAAGTGATGAAGAATTTTGTCCATATGGAGAGAGAAGAACACAGACATGTTAGACGCTAAAGAGGTAAGGAGCTTCCCAGCTAGTGCCTGGAGCCAGGAAAGTTAGAAAGTACATTGATGCCAAGGAGGAAAGGTCAAGGCCAAGGACATGGGGCTCAGTGGATCAGTAGCCAGTCATCTAAGTCAAAAGTCATGCTTATCCTCTTCTTTAGAGAACACCAAATTGTTAAAGGGAAAAGTTTTCTTAATTCCTCTTCTTGAACTAGCACTATGCTAATTCACTAACCTGTGCCAAACAGACAGTCACCTCTTATTAACCAGCTCTCAAAGGCCCTAATTTTCAACTTTCCCCAAAGATCCTCAAGACCATCAAACATCCCCAAGACCAGATCGCATCCTTGTTTAGGCCCTTATCGCTTCAGACTGCTCTGTCAGTCCGTTTTCATGTTTCTCCTAAATAGCTATAGCACGATCATGCCTGGACATTGTAGTCTACAGATGCACAAAGATGTTAATGAGTCTCTACTAAGAAATCATGGAGTATGGATCACTATGTTAAGCACTGTGAGAACATATATATATATATATATATATATATATATATATATATATATATATTTCTTCCTTACACTAATAAACTCTGATTTTTAATTAAAACATCCCTACTCCCACAAATACAATTGCACTGAACAAATACATTAACAAAGCAATTTATGGTCAAATGGAAGTCAAGATAGTGCTGAAAAAGCAGAGTCCAGAGGTCCTAAATGAGCACCCTCCAACCACAAGCAGAGGAAATGAGGTCAGACCTCACTGGGGAAAGTAACCACTGCAGCTGCTTTCCTTGCTTACTTCCCGTTCACTCCTTAACCCGGTGGCATCTGGCTTCCTTCTGCCATGTGCTTGTTATATAGAAGATGGTGGTTCCCAAGTTTAGTGTGCATCAGAATTTCCTGGAAAGCCTGTTAGAGCACTGCTTGCTGGGCCCCAGCCCCATTGTGTCTGACACAGTAGGTGTGGATTGAGGTCTAACAATCTGCGTATACAAGTTTCCAGGTGAGGCTGCCGTCACTGCACCAGGGACCTCACTTTGAGACCCATAGCTCTAGGAAGCTATCATGCGACCGTCATTCAGCAAGTCTATTTTCCGACCGTGAGAGTACTGAACTTCTCCCTACCTCTGAGAATTACTAAGAAGTCCTAAAACTTGTAAATGAAATGGAACACTGTGAAAGCACTTCAGAAGCTAAGCAGGTACAGCATTAGTGATCATCAACACCAACTGAATCACCTCTTTGTTGTATCTGATCCCAAGGAACGCTTTCTTCTTGAAACTCTATTCTCTATTCCATTGCTCTATTTGTCTTCTTTCTTCTCTCTGCCCTGCTTTCCTCTCCCCATACTTTCTCTCTACAAATTCTTCTAATTTCACTGGCTCAAAAATCAGTCACAAGAGAATTACCCCCAACGCTCAGTTCCGTATCTCTAACTTACCCTGTTTTGTTCACAACCTCTCCAAGCTTAAAAATATATGCCCTCACCCCTTCCTCACACTTCCTCACAGATATCAACCATCTTAAATGGTTCCTTTTACAGCCTTTAATGTTATCCACCATGTTGCCTCCCTTCCTCTGCAATCCAATCCCAGCACACCACACTGTTGGCCTCTGTCCCACAGACCTCCCACCTGGCCTTTCCACCTCCACAACCTTCCTGCTTCAGTCCTCCTAAATGCTCCTTCCTTGGTAAGCTGCTTAAAATATTGTTTTCATCGAGCTTCCCTGCTCTAAAATGCACTCTAGCCTCTCATGGCCTAAATAATGAATTCCCAAACTCGTTCAGATAGAAGTGTCTTTGCCATCCACCCTCACCTTGAGCAGAGGCCGGATAGATGCCTGTCAAGGCAGTGGTAGCACAGCTTCCTGCAAAGTAAACTTCCTTTCCAAGTCCATGGTTGTATTAGTTATTTCCGATTTTAGTTGTACTATTTCTCTAATAAAGCCATGGCTTTAATCAATCAATCCTACTAATTTTTTTTCACCAAAATATCATCTTAAATACCACAAATACACCTGTGCTAATGGTGTTTCCACCTCTCTCTGCCCACACAAATTCTAATCACCCACTGAGGTCGAAGTCAATGCCTTCTTTTCTACTGGTGTTCATAACTCTACATGCTTCCAAGCACTTTGTACTTTCTCCTTTCTTTTCTTTCCCTTCCCTCCCCCACTTCCCTTCCCTCCCCTGAATCATCCCCATTACCATACAACATGCTTTAGAATTTCTTATCAGTAAAAATAAATTTTAAAAAAATCTCCACTGAGCCACATGCACCTCATCTACCCACCATCTATCAATCAGACCATTTCCTTGCTGGCTTTTACAACTTCTGTACGTACAGCTTCTCTACTTTTTCACTTCGTATTCATTCCCTCTTCAACCCCTTGCAATCTCACATCCAGCTCCACTGAATTTGCTCTTTTCAATTTACTAAGAATCAGCTCTGTGCCAAAATCAATGAAAAGATCTGTCTTCTCATCTCACCAAACTCTCAGTAGCAGTCAATATGTCTAACCATTCCTCCCTTCTTAACTTTTCTTCTCTTGGCTTCTAGCATTCCACACTGCCACTTTTTTTCTTACCCCATGGGTAACTCATTCCTAGTCTTCTGTCATGACTCTTCTATTTGGCTTCTAAATTTGGTAGTGCAAATGGGTTCAATCTTAGGCTCTTCTTCTAGAGCTGTCCACAAACATTCCCTAGATGATCTTATCTATACACATGACTTTAGATGCTATCTGTTTGCTGGGGACTCCTTATTTTCCCTCCAGGCTTAACATCCACTTTAATCTCAGGCTCTGTCTTAGTATCCTAACTTGGATATGTATTATGCACATTACAGTTATCTAAACAGAACTCTTAATTCTCCTCTCCCATTTCCTTCTTGTTTCTACTCCAATTCTCCCTATCTTGGTAAATGATACTATTTATTTAACTCAAACCAAAAACTTAGCCACCATCTTAATATCTACCCACATTCAATCCATCAGCAAATCCTGTGAATTACACCAGCAAAATATATCTCAAATATGCCCAATTCTTCCCATGTCCACTGCTGCCACCCTAGACCAAGTCCCTAACATCACTTTTCTGAAATGTTGTAACTGTCCTCTAAAAGGCCTTCCTGCATCCATGTTCAGCCTTCTCCCAGAGAAGAGTGGTCGTTCTAACACATAAATGCCATCAGTCTCTTGCATAAAATATACCAATGACCTCCATTTTTACCTAAACTAAAATTCAAAACTTCTCACTGTAGTCTACCACACTGGCTCTTGACTCTCTGATCTAAACTGGTACCACATTCACCTTCCAATAAACACCCTGTTTAAACCATACTGGTCTTCTTTTATTGCCCACATAAGCCAACTTCTTGACCTCAGTTTTTTGTTTTGTTTTGTTTTGTTTTTTTGCTATTTTTTCTTTCAGGAACACTGTCTGCTGG